ATTTATTTAAATCGGTTATAACTCTTGACAAACGACGACTATAATTGTTTACAATGGTCGACGGCCACGATTCGCACGTTTCAATGTAAAATAACAGTTACGCGTTGAATTATGCGATGCATAATACGACATTTTCATTATAAAAGGGACTTTCGAATTATAATGTTAAAGAGATTTTGTATAATATAGCAGAAATTTCTACGCAAAATAACTCGAAAATTCTATGATATACGGTAACGAATAAATTGATAATTTAAGTTTTAATGAAGACAGTTATATTTTGTACGCTTCGCATCTCTCATCTGTGTGTCGGCCTATTCGTGCAAAAATGTGTTTGTATGCCTTTACCTTTTAAAACAGTCTGTTATAACACAAACAGGAGATTATTATTTCCACTTGTTTAACCTATTTCTTTAGACTCAAAAGCAGTATAAGTTTTATATGGTTAAGTTTTGGCGATTTACTTTATTTGGGTTAAATTTTCGAGAACTTAACGCATTAACGATTAATGAACTTAACTTTTGTATTAACTATGCCCATAACGTATCAGAACCCACCTACATGTCAAGAAGTTTCGATGAAAGTGGGAGTTTCATTCCAAACCCTTACCCGACATTACTCTTTCTATTCGGTTAACCTATCATCAAGTTGTCTAATCATAGTATATTGTACAGTGGGACGCGTGTGGGATGTCATTATTTATCGTTATTAGCACACCAATCATTAGCGAGTGGAATCATTACGGATCGTTTCTCACAGCTAATGACATTGATGACGTAAGCTAATCATCTACACGACTTGGGATGATTTTGTTCGATGATTTATTGAAGGGCTCTTGATCGTATGAGAAGCTTGTTTATATTGGTGAAAGTATTTACTCGTATGATATACAACTTCATCAAATTCATTTATGTGTTATTTGATATTTAATTTATTATTTGATGTTTGTAAATAGAATGATAACACTTTTTGAGTAGTACTTGTTTTAATTCTGATGATATCAATAACTTGTCACTGATAATTTTATTAATGACTAATATTATAAATACGAAAATTTAGATAGATGGATGTTTGTTAGAAGGTATCTCCAGAACGGCTTTAAGGATCTCGCTGAATTTTGACATAGATGTAGAACATAATATATAGGCTACAGTTTTTTTTATTCTGCGCAGATGGAGTCGCGGTTGACAGTTAGTTACTAATATAATAATTGTGAAAGTTTAGATAGATGGATGTTTGTTAGAAGATATCTCCAGAACAGCTGCATGGATCTCAATGAATTTTGATATAGGTTTAGATAGCCTGGAAGAACATATAGGCTACTAACTAAGTTTTTTTATTATTAATTTCCAGTAGTATAATGTTATAAATTTTACTATCTAATGAGTTGATTAAATAACAAGATGTTTCAGTAGTACCTGAGTCATACTTTAATAACGGTTAATTTAACAATTTGACAGTTTACAGTTGATTGTCATTTGACAGTTACGATATGTGACAAGTGACGATTGTTATAAATTGTGCGATAAAACCCACTGACGATTTATTCGCTACATGCACATACACCGAGAGCGGATCTTTAAATAAACCATTTATGTTATTCTATTTCTTTTATGTTATGTTCGTTTATGTTGATTCCAAGATAAAATATTGGAACATTATATGTCACGACAAAAATATTAAATAGGATAAGTATATGTTTTACTCATGAAAATGATTTTAGATGAGTTAGTGCATTATAGAGGAGATTCCCCATCAGATATACAGACCAGGTTTGAGTGGAAGTAGCTGCCCCCTGCATGTATGTTCGAAAAAAAGCAGTAGTTCTAGAAGGCGTCTAGGCGAGGTCGCGGACGAAAGCGCAAGCGTGCCCGTGGCCTCGCCACTATACATTGGAGGAACAAGGGGTTTAGTGGGTATTCTTCCCATCCGGAAGAAAATCTCACATCACTACCGCGTCCCTCGGGGCGCGGAATTTGCATAAAGCATTCCGAGGACCACAACTAGTCTGTAAAGACTGAAGCGACTGGGATGAAGAAATTAGTTATTAGTTTGTTTTATTTTTCGTCATTTTTAAAAGGCTTATGAATATATCAGTTATATTATTTTATTAACAGTTAACTAAAGTAATTAATCAATGTTTTCCTGTTATTCAATTTCATGCGATTAGAATCAGTGTTGTAGGAACAAGTATATAAGTTACAACTAGTCAAGCATCCATGTAACCAAGTTGGAACATAAATATTAAATATTAATAATTCATAAATAGTTTAATATGCGAAAGTATTTAAATACTCTGTACCTAATTACTCAAAATAGATATTTCGAGAGATTCAAATTAGGGTGCCTGTATATAAAATAGAGAAAAAAATCGTCCACGTGATTCCACGTCGCTAATAATGAAAAATTTTATTTTTGTCTGCCTTTTTCTCTCTTTGCCTGCCAGTATGTTTGACCAAAATACCTTTTTTTATTCCGGCTAACCTCCAGAACGGCTAGACAGATTTACACAGGACTTTACAGGAACAGGATACTCGTTAAAGGTTTAGTTATAATTTTACGTATTTAATTCGACTTTCCTTGTCCTTAAATTCTAGTAACGGCCTGGGAAAAGACATGAACAATTCGAATAGACAGGTCACGTCCGTTGTATTCTAAAACGTGCTTTGTCTGAGAGAATCGCGGTCTATGATCTGTACCATTTCGCAATGCATCCCGATTTATCTCTTTTAAAGCAATAAATTATTTTTGTATTGCTATAAAGATTTGACCTATAGCGTTGAAATATATTATAGAAATACATTCCGAAGAGACATTCAGAATTCAGAGTTCTTATGTAGAGTCAATCTTACTAATTTGATAAATGCGAATGTTAGATGACTCAACAGGTCTCGCTGAAATTTGGTATAGATGTAGAAAATAGTCTGGATGAGCACATAGGCTGCTTATAAGTTTTTATTTAACTCCGCGCGGACGGAATCGCGGTCGTCCGCTAGTTAATGGTAAAGTAAAATAAAGAATAAAAAATTATTAAAAATAATTTTTCAATATTTTAAATGCAATGTCTAAAACAATAAGGAATATATTTATTCAATAATCATATCTTTGAATTTATAACACAAAAAGTGGACTCAGTTGAACATTTATGAGTATTCTTAGCCGATAAATCAGAAATATCAAAAGCTTTGCCTTTAACCCTCGACCGCCGGAGTCTGACCGTCTCAGGAATGTCACAATCGAACCGATGACATGTTTATGGTTTTAAGTTAACGCGATGCAGCTGTAATAGGGTTAACTCGAATAAAAAGTGAGGGTAGAAAAAATTTGAATCGTTAAAGGGTTGAAGTAAGCTTGTTGTTTTGAGATTTTTTTCTTAATTAGTTCACTATGTCATTTGGAATTTGTAATTTAATATATTACTGTGTACTGTAGGTTTATGTTGTCAAAATACTTATATAAAACCACCAGGTTCCATCCACATGTTATATAATGATTACTATATAAGTACTAACACTAGTATACAAGAATCTAGTACATAAGCACTATATAACTTTATATCCAATCATTTTACTATTTACTCAATTTTGTTATATAATATCATGTAAGATAACTAATACTAGTATATAAGAATCTAGCACATAAATACTTCAACTTAAATTCCTCAAGATCCCTTTGTCTTAAACTATTTTGCTATAATATTTTCGTAACATTGTATTTACCGTTGATAAGTTAATATGTATTTGTTTAAGCATTGATAACTACCATTTCCTAACTACTTGTTTACAACTGCCACGAACTCTGCCAAAACAAATTACTAATTACGATTCCTCTAATTCTATCAATAAGTCATTTGAGAGTATTGTTTACACAATACCCTTATATATACTTTATGTCTAAATTATATTAAGTCATTCACTGTTTCAATGTACTACTGTTAACTTGTCATTTTATCCTTGTAAAATAAATTATTTTTATTTAAAAGTTTTTGTTACTTGGCCATATAACAAATTTGGCGCAGTCGGTAGGATAAGTGCATAAGAAAGTCGAAGTAACAACGTGTAGGCTCCGAAAAAGGAAACAAATCGCCAAAAGACGAAGCAGACACGGAAACTGAAGGTTTTAAATAACTACTTCGCCGGACCTTATAATGAAGCACGCAGTTTATATTGCATTATTGTGGTAAGTGGCTAAAACTTTGCTCTGTTTCACCATATACTATATCCGAATCCTATATTTCTACCATTTCTCGTGTATTTTACTATTACCATTTCTCGTATATTTTACCCTAGTTATTCTTGTACTATTTTTGCATTCAACATGTCAAAAACCAATGACGTTTGTGTAGATCATAAAGGGATAGAAATGCCCATAGGGACTCTTCTACAACTTATCCCAGATTTCGATACAAAAAATAACAACGACATATACAGGTACATACGGTCGTGTGACGCTGCATTTAACCTAGCGACTATCACCCAACAACCGACAGTACTAGTTTTTGCCCTAAATAAAATAACTGGTCCTTATTCTGCAGACGTACATGCCAGACAATTTCTTAACTGGGCGGAATTAAAAACATTTCTAATCCAAATAATTTCGCAAACAAAAACTCTCGCGCACCTAAACTTAGAACAACAATCAATGTTCCAAAAACATAACGAGTCGATTACAGAATACTATCACAGGGTAGAGCTCTGTAGAAGTAAAATAATAGAAAAACTAAACGCGGAAATCTTAAATAATACTTTACTGGGTCGCCTTGCAACTACTGAGGAGAACGCACTAAATGTCTTTATAAACGGGATTAGTTCAGATATCAGAACGATGTTAAGGTCTAAAGGGTTTAACAATCTGTCTGAGTCAGGGCGTTTCACCTTACATAAAGATAAAATCAGAGCCATGAATAACGCTCGTCAAGCGCTATTTAGAACAAACTCCCCACGTCTCTCAATTGTACCACATAAGCCCCCGGTCTCTACAAACCTTCCCTCTCGACGTCCCATGATACATCCTCCGCATAGACCACTAAACAATCATTTAAACCCAACACACGAAAACACTAAGATATGCAATTATTGTAAACACCCAGGACACGTCATAAGCGAATGTCGCAAACGAGCTTACAACAATAATCTTAGAAACAAAAACCAACTCGCTCAACCGACACCATCCACTAATGTTAAACTGGTCGGCGACCAACGAGGTGGACAACTCGTCGGGAATCGCTTCCTGCCCAGAGACATCCGAATTGATCGAAAACTTAAACGACCTCCAACTCTAGAATATCAAGGAAACAACATGTTAAAACAAAGTGCATCTCTAGATAATAAAACAGTCAATCGGAGACAATTTAGAGATGTATGCGTTCAAACTGAAGAACATACCCAAACAATTAGTTTTAACGAAACCTACGAGCAGGGTAGCCAGCCCCAAAATCTCGGTTTCCTCACAAAATCTTCTATATCCAATGAACCTTCTAACCCTACTAATTCTACTAAATCAAGCGAACATTCTAAATCAATTCAATCATCGAAGCATATTACAAAATCCTTTCCAAACCCTTTAAAGGAAACCTACGAACAGGGTAACCAGCCCCAAATTCGGTTTCTCCACAGAATCTACTATTTCCACCGAATCTCCTAACTCTAGTAAATCTACTAAATCAAACAGAAATTCTGAACCGATTCTATCATCCAACCTCTACAAAGTTCACTAAATGCAAATCGCGTGCCAAAACTAAACTTAAACCGAAACTAAAATTCAAAAATCCTAAATCCGAACTCAAATCTGTTACCAAATCATATAATATAAAGTCCTTAAACATACCTCCCGAAAACCTACTACATTGCGAGTTCCATGTCGACGGCCAACCACTCATATTATTAATAGACACAGGAGCAGCCAGAGATGGCCAAATATAACAGAGATGTTATACAAAAGAACAAAATAGTTTAAGACAAAGGGATGTTGAGGAATTTAAGTTGAAGTATTTATGTGCTAGGTTCTTATATACTAGTATTAGTTATCTTACACGATATTATATAACAAAATGGAGTAAATAGTAAAATGATTGGATATAAAGTTATATAGTGCTTATGTACTAGATTGTTATATACTAGTATTATTACTTATATAGTAGTCATTATATAATACCTCCCCCCTTAGAATAAAGATTGGACGTTGGCGTCCGATCTTTGGGTGGTGTTCAAAGAGTCGTCCTCGTCTTCGGAGATGCATGATGGAGCTGGAGTTGGAGTTCTTATTGTTCTTATTGGGATGGCATGGACTCGTGTAGTTCGTTGTCGCGACGAACCGAGGCAATTGTTGAAAATTTGAATACAGTGTTTTTTACCATGATGATGTTGACGATGAAGTTTCATGTACTTCTTTAAGAGTACGTATAAAATTATTAAAAGTACAAGACTTCCGGTTATGATGGTGAACCAGGAAAATCCATTTTGTTTTCTTTCGATAAACGGTTTTCTTTCGATAAACGGTTTTCTTTTCAACTTTTGAATTTCTTCATCTTGATTATTTAATTGATTCCTGATATTGTTCAAAGAGTCTATAGGAACTTCATTAATGGAAATAGGAAATAAATAAGGGATTTCAACGTTCTTATTTTCTTCGATGCAGTCCTGGATATCTAGTTGAGGGATGACAATTGGGGAAGTTGTATTTTCTTTCTTGGATCTATGTGCTGTTAAAGTACTGTAACCTGTGTGGAGTTTGCAATTTTCTTTTAAATTAATTATTCCGGATCCTTGTATTTGGTAATGGGATATTTCGTCGTCACATTTAAGAACACAAGGTGTTAGGTTAGTCAGGATGTAGAGCCATCTGTTGTCGTCTAGTGATTGAAAGGTATTAATTTGTGCAGCAAATGTAGAGCTTGTGCAGGTGCTTGGTATTTTCTTGGAGGCGCCAGAGACGACTTGCAGTTCGCATATTGGACGTGTGTCTGCATCATAGGTGACAAGGTCGTTACAAACGCTTTTCTTTTCGACCAAAGTTTTGCAGTGGTCCAGTGAGCTTGTAGAAATGTATAATTCGCCGCTAGGGTTTGTAGCTAAAAACTTATGCTCGGGTAGGATGGTCGTGTAAAGGGAGGAATTAGGATGTTGGATAGGAGTTGAATATATATGGTAAAGTTTTAAGGGTTCGGATTTTATAAGTGGGAAATCTAGAATGTAAACTAATCTATCTGAGTACACATAGGCGGATAGTTGGGCTGAGTCTAATATACTATTAATATTATGGATAGTAACAGGGAGAACTAATCGTTTATTTGATCTAGCGTGGTTGGATAAAAGAAGTTCTTGATATAGTTTATTAAGGGATATAATAGAAGGGTGTATAATGTTGGCTTTCGCAAATAGAATGCTAGAAAGAATTTCATTGATTTCGTATTCTAGACTTGTTATTATTTCGAGAACTTGGATAGAAATAGTGGAAATGTCTTTACTCGCTTTGTTGTCGAACATAATTTTGCTTGATTCATTTAGGTATTTATTTAATCTATTGATGTTTTCGTTAATAATTTGTTCATCGATTCTAATTTTATGGATTGTTTCGTTATTTTTTTTTTATAGTTGATGAAGTTATTTGTACTTATTTTTGCACTAATGATTTAAGATCTAATTCATGTCTTTCTAATAGATCGATACATTCGTCTTTTGCGTCTAAAGTACCTATAAGGTATTTCAGCACTGAACCTATACCATCAAATAGTTCTCTTTTTGACCTAGAATTTTTACCAATATACATGTTTAATTCGGATAGTCTATTATTAATTTTTTCTACGTTTGTGTTTAAATATGACCGGGTAGAGATTACGTTTGGAAACGATATGTGTTTATTTGCGAGTTGCTGGAAATTTGTAGTTAATCGCATTAGAGATTCTTGTCCAAGGAATAGAGGTTGTAGATTTCGGTAAATAATTAATTTTCAAGATTCTTCTGAAATAAAAATAGTGCCTTCTTCTTTATAGAAGAGGCTAGTATAAGGTGGAAGTTTCTCATCGAACTGTCCTATACTGGCAACAACTCCTGCCGTTGCCCTGAAACAAGGAGAATATCTATGTTAGGATTCCCTTGTTTATATTTTCCTTTACAATAATTCCTAAGGTATAAATATAATTTGTAAATAATTAATTATATAAATGTTTTGAAAATAGACATTATTATAAAGCTAATATAAGGGATATATTATATAATTTTAGTAAAGTATACAGGGTATCTGTGGGTTCAGGTGTGTCGGTTGCTGTAGAGCAGCTGACCCTGTGAATGTAAAATGTTTTATTAAACTTAAGTTTCGTGCATGTGGTATGGTCGAAGACGATTTGCATGCACAAGTTGGTTTCTATTTGATTTTTGTATGATATTATTATGGTTAAAACCAACTCTTATAATTTGAAAGGGTCCATCCCACTTTTGGTCTAGATTATTTGGGTTCGGAACTCGTAGCATCACCTTATCTCCTATTTTGTATTCAATTAAGTTTTTTATTTGACTGTCGTATCTATCTTTAGCTTTTTCTTTCATAGATTGAATGTTCCTCAAAGCAGATCACTAGCAACCCTAAGTCGTTCATTTAAATCTTTTAAATAGTCACAGGCTGTATAATAAGGTATAATTTTCATCGAGTAAAATGGACGTGGTTTGTACCCAAATAACAATTCGTGAGGTGTATAATTAGTAGAACTGTTCACCGATGTATTGTGGCATATAATCGCAAAAGGTTATGGAATGAAGGGATATGGTCACGTAACGTGGCGTGAAACCGTTCAAGGGAACCATTTGTTTGAGGATGATATGCCGTGTTAAACGTATGATCGGAACCTAAAAATTTGGTTAATTGTTTTAAAACGTTATTCGTGAATTCGGTACCTTGATCCGAATGAAATCTTTTAGGTACCCCGAAGTGTTGGCAAAAGTAGTTCTTTAGCTACTGTAACGGATTCTTTATCGGGGATTGGGTATGCTTGCACAAATCGAGTCAAGTCGGAGTAAGAGACAAGATCTATGGAGACTCGTTCGAAAGGCTCAGTGGATTGTGACGTAATGACCATAGGTGCTTGAAAGTTTTTCCTTTGGATTTTGTTTCGTTGGCAAATGACGTATGCTTCCACATAATTTTTTATGTCGTTGGTCATACCTTTCCAGAAGTATTCGTCGCGTATTTTCTGGTAGTTTCAACAATTCCACGATGACCTGAGAGAGGTTCGTCATGGTACATTTTCAGTATATGAGGGATTTCTTCAGGTTTAGGGTGTATGATTTTGTTTTGGCTAATTGTAATTTCACAATTATATGTGTCCGCAAGATATGCAGTTATACGTAGTTGTTCATTACCCACTAGTTTACAGGTAGGGTCATTTTTTAGATCGGGGACATGGAGATTTTGGATTTTATTCTGTTGAAGACACGACATTAAGTCTTTTCTAGGTCTCGCAGGTTACTACCGTCGCTTTATATCAAATTTTAGCCAAATTACCAAGCCTATGACAAGGCTTCTAAAAAAGGATATCCCATTCACATGGGGTGAATCTCAACAAAGAGCCTTCAACACATGTAAAACTATTCTTACTACAACTCCTATCTTGCAATATCCCGACTTTAGTAAAGAATTTGTCCTAACTACAGATGCGTCCATTCATGCCATCGGCGCTATACTATCTCAGGGAGAAGTTGGCAAAGATTTGCCAATAGCGTACGCTTCTCGCACCTTAAACAAAGCCGAATCTAACTATTCCATAATTGAACGAGAACTTCTAGCGATTGTATGCTCTTCGGAAGAAAATTCAAAATCGTCACAGATCATAAACCTTTAACATGGTTATTCTCTATAAAAGATCCAGGCAGTCGACTCGTACGATGGAGATTAAAAATAGAAGAATACAATTCTTCTATTATATCCCTTGTGCCGAACACGACGGTTCGGGTGCCGCGGCACAACCCTCCTGAATTACGCGTTGCGAGGGTTGGCGTAATATTGCAACGTGTGTATGATATGTCACTTACCCCCTCGATGCCCGTTCACCGCCTGCAGGTGCCTAGTCACTCTGTCGGTGTCAGTCGAGTCAAAAAGACCCTGTCATATGCACCCTTATGCACCCGATGCACCGCTACCCGTAAGCGCGCTATAGACACGTCGCGATCAGACCGAACGCGGAACCGTAAACTTAGTGACCCGGTACGCTAGATAAACCGATATTAGTTCCGACGACTTCCGATGCTGAAACTCAACTCTTCGACTGGTGTCGACTCTTCCCCGTACCCCCCGCAGGCCCCGCTGCCACCCGTAGCGGTGGGGGATTCCGAAACTACCCACTTGTGCGGGAGAATAAAAGTGAGCCGACCTACCTTATTTTGGTATAAACCAACAACTTTAAATTTGCATTAATATGACGTCAGTATAACGCAACTATACCGAACATCCCTTAATAAACTATATCAAGAACTTCTTTTATCCAACCACGCTAGATCAAATAAACAATTAGTTCTCCCTGTTACTATCCATAATATTAATAGTATATTAGACTCAGCCCAACTATCCGCCTATGTGTACTCAGATAGATTAGTTTACTTTCTAGATTTCCCACTTATACAATCCGAACCTTTAAAACTTTACCATATATATATTCAACTCCTATCCAACATCCTAATTCCTCCCTTTACACGACCATCCTACCCGAGCATAAGTTTTTAGCTACAAACCAAAAGCGTTTGTAACGACTTTGTCACCTATGATGCAGACAGATGTCCAATATGCGAACTGCAAGCCCTCTTTGGCGCCTCCAAGAAAATACCAAGCACCTGCACAAGCTCTACATTTGCTGCACAAATTATACCTTTCAATCACTAGACGACAACAGATGGCTCTACATCCTGACTAACCTAACACCTTGTGTTCTTCAATGTGACGACGAAATATCCCATTACCAAATACAAGGATCCGGAATAATTAATTTAAAATAAAATTGCAAACTCCACACAGGTTACAGTACTTTAACAGCACATAGATCCAAGAAAGAAAATACAACTTCCCCAATTGTCATCCCTCAACTAGATATCCAGGACTGCATCGAAGAAAATAAGAACGTTGAAATCCCTTATTTATTTCCTATTTCCATTAATGAAGTTCCTATAGACTCTTTGAACAATATCAGGAATCAATTAAATAATCAAGACGAAGAAATTCAAAAGTTTAAAAGAAAACCGTTTATCGAAAGAAATCAAAATGGATTTTCCTGATTCACCATCATAACCGGAAGTCTTGTACTTTTAATAATTTTATACGTACTCTTAAAGAAGTACATGAAACTTCATTGTCAACATCACCATGGTAAAAAACACTGTATTCAAATTTTCAACAATTGCCTCGGTTCGTCGCGACAACGAACTACACGTGTCCATGCCATCCCAATGGGAACAATAAGAACTCCAACTCCAGCTCCATCATGCATCTCCGAAGACGAGGACGACTCTTTGAACACCACCCAAAGATCGGGCGCCAACGTCCAATCTTTATTCTAAGGGGGGAGATGTTATATAATGACAACTATATAATTACTAACACCAGTATAGAAGAACCTAGCACATAAATACTTCAACTTAAATTCCTCAACAGCCCTTTGCCTTAAACTATTTTGCTATTTTCGTAACATTGTAATTACCGTTGATAAGTTAATATGTATTTGTTTAAGCATTGATAACTACCATTTCCTAACTACTTGTTTACAACTGCCACGAACTCTGTCAAAACAAATTCCTAATTATCCATTTACGATTCCTCTAATTCTATCAATAAGTCATTTGAGATTATTGTTTACACAATACCCTTATATATATATATACTCTATGTCTAAATTATATTCATCTCATTCACTGTTTCAATGTACTACTGTTAACTTGTCATTTTATCCTTGTAAAATAAATTATCTTTATTTAAAAGTTTTTGTCACTTGGCCATATAACACACACTATCTCGATGGCTGGCAATCCACAACCGTGCGGTTTTCGCAAAACTTCCTGCAACGCACAGCGGCGTTGTGGAATGGTCTGTTCTCGGCGGTATTTCCAAAACCGCTACGACTGAGGGTCCTTCAAGAAGCGAGCGTATCACCATCTCAAAGGCTGGCAATGCATCTGCGGTTCCTCTGGTATTGCTGATGTCCGTGGGCGTCGTTGAACATTGTTCCCGCTGCTCGTTTGCGCCTTTCTGTTGTATACATTTAGCAAAATATTGGAATTATTTTTATAATATAATCCGAATTTTTATATAAAATATAATTTATGAATCATCCACGATGCGTCATAAAACATCCAGTCGTACCGAGTGGTGTGATGTTATTATTAGAAAAAAAACTGAAATGGATCACCCATGTCGTTTAAAGAGTACATATTTGTATGGGCTATTGTTACTGAGGGCTCGTTTCCATTGTACCATATTGAAAAATTAAAAATAAAACCCGATTAAAGTAACATAAAAGAATAAGACTAATTGATGTATGTTTTGATTTCTTTCGTAAAAAAAAGAAAATTTGAGGAATAAAATTACTTGCTATTGGTATAAATAACAAATTATGTGTTATATTTCTATATTCACAAAAGCCCTTGCCTGTTGTTTATGTACTATTAACTACTATAAAATTATCAGCCAGATTCAATAATTTTTTAGCCAATAATACATAACAAGATATAAATATTACGGACAAAAACAATTGTCTAAAGTAAATCAAAAAAATTATCTATCAAAAAAATCGTACCGGACGACAATGGAGCTTCGATATTTTTTTCCAAAGCATCGTAACTAATATGTTTGACACTTAATACTTCCTTTAA